TGATGAGGGAAATATAACTATTTCTGAAACTTATAATTCATGATCACCATAAAGAACTAATAAGCACAATTACCTAGGCGACTGACGAAATAAACAACGAAAGTTAATCGAAACTGAGGAGGCAAGAACAGAAATAAAGCAAAGGAGGAGCAACACAAAGAACACGGGTCAAATCCAATATTCCTGTTGAAAGCAAGCTCATTGCATACACAGCGATTAGTGGTGTACAGAAATAGCTGACGCGTGCGCTGTGCTAGTTGAGATCACAGAAAAACTGTAGTGTCGAGTTCTTCAAGGTCATCCTACCTGGAATACAAATTCGCCTCACATTCTTAGGAGCAGTTGCCTAAGTTTGTTTTATTGCTGGTACAAATAATATAAACGGAATAATCAGTTTAATAAATTTTTTGGGAATTTAAAAATTATATTTGAATGCCAAAACATGCTCATCACCCCTTTACTGCCCAGAACAATACCCACCATCTTCCTACTGCCCAAAACAATCTCACTGCCCCTCAGCATCCTCTTACTGCCCCCTGTGGCAGTACCATTGAGAACCAATGGTTTATAGCAGCGGATCTCAGACTTTTGACTAACACATACCATCTAAACAAAAAAGTGAAAAATTTAGTACCACCACTACAAAGTACTACACTGGTTATCATAAATTGAGGAAAAATTACGATTACTGAAAAAATTACATGTAGAATTTTATGAAACTTACCCACAATATACAATACATAGTAAGGTATCAAATAACTTAAAAATAAATTACCAGACAATTGTGGTAGTATAGAAATTAGCATATGTATAAAATGAACAAATCGAAGGTGTCGGTTTGCTATAGGAAAAGTACCTTCAATATGGAATATGGTCGCCTCTAGAAGCAATACAGCAATGCGAGATGCTTTCAATTATGCGGTCTATCAGTTCCATAGGAAGCGAGAGCCATTGCTCCTGCAAAGCAGTTGCAAGCGCGGCTAGGGTCTGAGGGGGGTGGATTGAGAGCAGTTAGACGTCTCTCTAAAGCATCCCAAACATGATCGATAGGATTCAAGTCCGGGGATCAAGCTGGCCACTCTTTGCGCATAATTGTTTCCTGTTGAAGATAATGATTTACGATGCGAGCCCCGTGCGGTCTTGCGTTATCGTCCTGTAAGGTTGCGTTCAGACGGCAGCGTAAAGGGCATATAGGCATAGTCATAAGAGCACAAAATATGGGAATTCCGTTCACACTTGCAGGAACGGGGTGTAAGCCGTGGCCAATGGGAGAAGCTAAATTTGCGCATGCATGGATGTGTCTACGACTTTCCAGCGCCGTTCTCCTGCTCGATTGACTTCCCACGTTCGCTCTGTTTGTTTTGTAAAGGCGAAATCTTCTGTAGAATGGCACTTCGTTTTAGCTTCGCTCTGATTGGTCGACGTTTATCCCAAACTCGGCATAAAGTTGAAAACTTTGAACACTATGCCATGAGCCCTAAACCAGATTTTGTGACGTAACAGACTGGTTGCTTTGACAGCGGAGCCCGGCTTTAACCACTTATGCCCTTAACGCCTCCGTCTGAACGAAGCTTTACAGGAAAGCATCACCTATTGCCCTGGCACATGGGTGCACATAAGCGTCAAGGATGTCATCTCTATAAACCGGAGCATTCACGATTTCCATTGGAAAGACATTGAGGTCTGTGCGTCCACCCAAAGAGATGCCACCCCAAACACAGACACTGCCTCTTCCATATGCATCTCTTTAATGGATGTTTGACGGATGATAACGGGTTCCAGGTTCTCTCCATATCAAATAATGCCTACTATCGCTTTCTAGACTAAACCTAGACTTATCCGTAAAGAGAAACAGCCCTCCACTGATCAGGCATCCAGTAGACATGTTGTGCCTACTGCAAACTTTCTCTCCTATGACATGACGTGAGCGGCATGCAAATGGCTGGTCGCCTCGCATACAGACCACCTTCCTGAAGCCTACACACAGTTGACGTTGACACCAACCTTCCGGTGGCTGCAGCAAGGGAGGATCTAAGAAGAGTCGGAGTAGCGGTTCTATTCCTTCGTGCACATAATGTCAAATATCGGTCATCGTCACTCATTGTAGCAGTTGGCTGTCCTTGTCTGAACCTCTTAGATGCTGAATCTGTGGTTTGAAATCACCTCCAAAGTCTATGAACCACAGGATTCACATTTAGCCATCTGGCCACTTCTGTTTAACTTTATCAAATAATAAAGCAAATGCCTCTAGTCTGCCAATGGCTCTAGTCTCCCAATGGTTCTCCATCGTAGTTCTGCAATCAAATGATGCCTGGAGGTCATTGTTATGAATTGGCTATCTCAGATTTCTGATGTCACTATCACAGTGAAATATGTGGGCTTGGTCTCAAACATAGACTTTTTTTTCTCCTTGCAGATTACGTATTCCGAGTACAGTGCCACTAATTTGCATATTGCAGTTTTATTTAGCTACTCTTACTTGGCAACATATTCAAATTTTACATGGTTTGACTTATTTTTGAGGGAGTTATCCCTATTTTTGTGATTTTTCCTTAATTTAGGATAACCAGTGTACATTCTTGAACAAAGATCAGATCACATAAATTTACGTGTGTTAGGAAAAAAAACACAATCGGGACACCCCTCACAAGTCGCAATTCTCAATCATTTGATAAGGGTTGAGACAACATGCTTTGATGTTATAGAAGCAACGTGTTCAACAATGCTTCCATTTAATATTAGAAAAGAAATAACTTCATGACCAATGTAAAAAAAAAAAAAAAAAAAATTATTATCAGCGTTTTGTCAGTCATCAAAGCCTTTAGAATTCTGGGGCTAATGTCTTCAACTATAACAATTTAGCACAATGAAATAGCACTGAAAAATTTAAAAGGCTAAATTAATTCAGGCTAGAAAATGTTCGAGACAGAGCAACTATGTTAGCACACAAACTTTTGACAAGAGACTTACCATTAACAAAATACCCATAAAGAGAACAATACTTAACTTACCTTTCTAAACATAAGATCTACCGGAAAAATCATGTCTGTTTGGTAAGTGAAAGAAGATAAATTTTTCATATCTTTAATAGTATTGTACAATATAATTTCTATCATTACTTATAACCTCTTGCCAGTGTGATGGTAATTTGTAAATACCATTTTTGAAAAATATCTCGTCCTTAGAGGCAAAGAACTCTAGTAGAGCTTAGCTAACACCTTCAGTTTTGAATTTTTTCTTCGTAAAAATTTTTTGCCAGAGAAACAAATGATAATCAGAGGGTGCTTGATCGGGAAAATATGGTGGGTGCTGCAGAATTTCCCAATCTTGCTCAGTGATTTTGTAATGAGTTGCCAAAGCACTGTGCAGTTTGGCATTATCATGAGGCACTGTGATGTGATTCCAATTGAACATTACCAGATTTTTTTTTTTTGACTGCTTTGTTTAAATGATCTATTTGCTCAGAGTATCTTTCTGAATTGAGTTTTTCCCAGTAGGTTTCAGAAGTTCATAACGTATTGTTGGTCCTTGGATATCCCACCATATACACAGCATTTTCTTATTCTATTCATGCTCAAGGTTTACAGGCAGGGCTTGATTTCTAGAAGTGCAACAGCCCTATGGAAGACCATCAAGAAATAGGATTAAGAGTAAATAAATAAAGCAAATGAGTAATCACATAATTATTTAATTGATAATTATTATTTAATTAACTCGTAATTAATTTATTATTTATAAAAGTAACTGAAAATTAAATTAATTAAATAATTAAAATTACATAAAATGTACAGAGATAAATTATAATTTAAGAAGCGATTTTTAATATAATTTTATTGCTAAAAATAAAATTTTCAAGATCAAATTTCTACTGAAATAAAAAGAAGTGCCGGAGTGTTCTTATTTGGGGCTCCGGTGCACTCCGGCTAAAATTAGAATTTATCCCCAAAGCTAAGAAGTACCGGTAAGCTCCGGTGGGCTCCTGTGCAGTTTAAGCTCTGTTTACAGGTAGAGGGAGCAAGTTGTCTGGTATGCCCTTTTGATAATCATGTTTCTGTAGGTAATCCACTTTTCATCCCCAGTTATCATCCAGTCCATAAAAGATTCGTTTTTGTTCCGATTCACTTAACCCAAGAGGTATTGCATCTGTACTTGATAGATACAATTCTGGTTTCCAAATGTGGTTCTAATTAGGCTGATGAACTGAGTTTAGCTTTATCGCAATCTTGGATGTCAAAAAAGTAACTTGCTCTATCGTGGTCTTGACAGTATTGACATCAATCAAAGATGGCTATTCTGAGCTTTGCTAATCATAAAAATTTAAATCACCTGCTTCAAATTATTTGAACCATCTCCTTCATGTTCTTTCCAAAACTGCATCTCCACGCAAATCTGTCACTAAATTTCAATAAATTTCAGTAGCATTTCTTCCTTGCTTGAATTTGTGCAAAATACACTATTGTAAATGAACTTCATCGATAGCCATGTTTACACATCACATGTCACTTAATTATGACATAAGACACTTTTGCTTTGGTTCATTTAGAAGAGTACTACATGTGTATAGATAATGTGGTAAAGAGAGACAGACATTATATCTCAAATGAACACATGCATGTGAATTGAAATAACATTATCGGACAAAAATTTTGGTAAAGCTTATAATTGCTTCTGAGCATTCAAATGTTGATTGTTTTTGTCTTTTTGTCTTTTTTTTTTTTTTTTTCTTTTTTTCTTTTCTTTTCTTTTTTTTTTTTTAGAATTTCTCATAGGTGTATAATAAATGTGAATTCAATGTGGAATTAAATATGTAATCAAATACCAGTAGTCCAGCACCAGTTACTACAATGGAGTCGCTTCGATTTTTAAAAATTTACCCTAGTATATTTTATCTGAGGGAGTCTCCTTTTTGAGTAAATGTGATGTGTTATGTTTGAAATATTTAATACAAATGTATCACAATTGAAATCATTGTATGTAAACTGGTTGTCTTTTAAATACAGCTCTGACCTACATGTAAGGGATATCAAGAAAAATGAAAATGTTCCTGCCACAGATGATATAATTTTGTTGGAGGATAAGAAAGATAAAAAATTGGGAGAATTCATGGCACGATTTTTCAGACAGCATCATAAGTCTAATGCTTGTGGATTAAAAAATATCTCAAAAAATGAAACTAAAATTAGTCACAGGTATTTTTTTAATCTTGATAAAACTTTTGAATTTTTTTATTAACAATGCGGTTAAAGCATTTATATGTATTTGAAAATCTGATTTTATTTGATATAGGATGACACTAAATTTTGCTGAAACGCCAGCTGGAAATCCTGGTAAGTTTTTTTTTTTTTTTTTAAATTGATATCTTTCGTCTTTCTCTCCTTCCCTCCCCCTTTTTTTAAAAATCTAGCTTTTAATATAGTAAAAACTGTTTCTGATAGACTTTTAATTAAAGCTGTAATAGAAAATGTCAACACGCAGTCAGTGATTGAGTATTTAAATGTTGTTGTTCTAATATACATATTATTATAAGGACACTGCTTTCTCACATTTTTAATGATGTAAAAATACCTATGAACAATGTGTGAAAGTGATGTTTCGGCAAATATTAAATAGGGATTAATTCTAAATTTTGTGTATGAGAGGCATGGCCAAAGCGTGGCTTGCAAGCACTTCTCTATCATAACAGCAAGCAGTATGCAGATCATTGGCTCTTTAAATGCAATTTGTGTTGTAACAAAGAACATTTTCATGTTTGTCATACTGAACATTTAAATGTAATTACTGTGTGAAATAAGAATTTTGTTAAGCCAACTTTTTTAATCAACCAGTAATTTCATTTTTTAAAGTTAAAAATTAAATTAAGCAAGTTCTAATTGTGTGCTTATCAAATTTGGAAGCAAAAGATAAATATTAGATATGTAGAAAAGTTCTTGTAGATCCATTTCGTGTCATGCATATACACTTTCATTTATTAGTGAACCTTTCCATCCAGCTTCTGTAGAATACTTCTCTATTCAGAAAGAAATTTTCTGCAGGAAAAGGAGGAAATATATATTCTGAAGGGAAAATATGTTATGATAGAGAGAGGTGGTTTTCTTTTGGAACAATAGTTAATTGATATAAATGGTACTGTATTACCTTCTAACAAAACTACTGTAACTTGCGAGTCCAAATAGATGTGATAAAAACACAATTACATGACAGTACAACTGTAATAGGCACTTGTCTCCCAGAGCATTGCATTGACAGTTTAGTTGTTGACAGTATACATGATTTGGTGGTAACAGCTTCCAATAGATTTCATCTCTGAAATTCCATTAAATACTTTCTATAAGTATCTGTTATGGAAATAATTATTGTTTTGCATTGGATCCTGGGCATCTGGTCTATAAACTGTCCTGCTTTATTTGATTTCAGAGAATAGTTTTTGTTACCACTTATGATTGGGTTAAAAAAGGTATGGGTTTGTTTTGCCAGTCAAGTATTGAAATACAAGTTCTCTCATCTTCCTATATCTTTTGGATAAATAAAATAGTACCAAGTGTCCTAATTTACTGCAGATTCCAACACATGAATCTGCCTCTCCAGTATCATACTGTAAATCTGTAATTTCTCAGCTACTTCTACCATAATAATTTTGAATCATGCTTATTATGTGTCTACCATCACCAACACATTATAGTTTGCAAGTGAGTTGCAACACAGCTAACTGCAGCGTGTAGCATATCCAAATCCATGCATTGTGATGAACAGTGTTCTTTAACTGCACCAAAGAAGATGGGCTGTTGCGGTATACTGTGGACTTGACATAATCCCAGAGCCAAAAATCAAGTGGTGTTAAGTCCAGTGAGCAAGGGAGCCACTCATTTCTGCAGTGATGGGTAATCAGTTGTTTTTTGTAAAAGTTCTTAGGAATTTCTTAACCACTTTTTTACATATTCTTTTTATTAAGAATCTGGCTTTCTCTATCTTCATTTTTATTGCTTCAGAATTCACAATAACTGCATTTGTAAGCTGAAAGAAGAGACTTGTACTGCTTTGGAATCTTTCATATTTTTAAAGATATAGTGGATATATTTTGCTTCTCTTTGTAGCGGTGTGCCAAAAAGGGAAACTAGACTGACTGGAGAAATAATACGAAACCTTCTTCAAGAACTTAGGAAGTGCAGAATTTGGTAGCATCATAAAACATAGAATTTTAGCATAAGCTGTTGAAGACAATGGATAACTATCCTATAACTTCTTTTCCATGCTTCTCTAAACCACAGACACCACACAATTTTCTAGCTCCCAATTGAAAAGGTTTTTTCGATAGGAAACTGTCATAATTTTGTAAAGAGGCAAAGGGAATTTGGGAGTAATTTATATGTTTTGTACTGCTAAACAAGTTTCTTTTTGCGAGTTAAATCCTTTTATTATTAACTGATAAATAAATAGAATTAACTGTTAACTTTCAATAAACCACATAAAATGATGCTTTTTCAAAAAATTCCTCTTTTTTTAAGTTTTAAACTTAAGTATATGACTTCAAAAAAATAGCTTCCTAGCTTCTGTTTTACTGTTTTGTTCTTCTGGAATTTTTGAAAGTGAGGAACTTTGCAGTATGTGAACAATGTGTAGTTAAGTGAAGTCATTTTTGAATTAAGCACTGCATATTCTAATTTCTTAACAGTTTCTTCTTAAATATTACTTTTTGATGGAATGTCTTAATATCAATTTTGAGTTGAAATTTTAGCTTTCCTGCAAAATTCAAATTTTAACATTTCCATCGAGTTTTAATTTTTAATAATTTCTGTAGCCTTGAACTTTAAAATTTTAACCATTCTGTCAATAGAAAGAATTTGAAAGGTTTCAGATATTTTTAGTAACATACATACCTAAACAAAGTAAATATTACAGGGAAGGTAAACTTTGATGCAAGTTTTATATTTACTGTGAACTTGAATTTTTTATTTATGAAATTGTGTATTTTGGTAACGTTAATAAGTTCATAAAACCTATGGGAAAATATAGATGTAAAAGGCAGAAAGAAAAATGATCAGTTTTATAATGTAATTTTATTATAATTATATAACAGAATTAATTCTTTTAAACACTTTATGTAGACACTTTATGTATGTTATGTTATATATTAATTTTATACTGATTAAGTAATCTGATTAGGAAATAGATTGTTATGAATTTTTTTATGTATGTAATAATTTCAGTGAAGCTATATGTGTGTTTTGCATTGTGTTATGTTTAATGTTTGTAGTAGTTTGAAGTGGTAACTACTGATTGTGCTTTGTCATAATGAGAAGAGCTGTAAGAGTCCATTCGTGGAAAGTTCCAGAACTGTAAGGTGTTTCTTTTGGGAAAATAAATTTTATCAAGCTATTATCAGTTCTGTATGAATTCAGTCATTACAAACTCATACACTCACAACAAATTTTTGTCTCCAAAGTGGGATTGAATGCCTGTGAGAAAAAGCAATGGAGGGCAACTAAGACAACTGATGGCAGCATTTGCTGCATTCCAAGAAAAGATGGAATGGACCATTGACTCCATTAAAGAAGATATGAAAGTGGGCCAAGAACATTGAAACAGGCCAGGAGGAAATGAAAAGAGCAAAAATGCTTCCATAATTGAAAACAAATTCGAAGCCATGGAACACAGTTGCAACTAAAGTGAGAAATTGAAAAATGTTTCTGCTACCGAATAACTAATCGGAGAAAGAGAGTTTCTGTTGTCAAACAACAAATCAGAGAAAGAGTTTCTTTTCTCGAACAGCAAATCTAGGACGGTTTCTTCAGTCACCTAGAAAGTTGGCAGTTTAAAGAAATCCATGGTGACACCAGGAAGCAGTTCTGCTGCCTTTAATTTCTACTCATCTCTTCTCGACCCTCTCTAAAGTTATCCACATATGATAGAAAGACCTCCTTGCAAGTGCACTAGAATGAGTTCTCTACAGCGGAAAATGCAAATAAATGGGATTCTGAAACTAAAGCCTGTGATCTTGCTGCTTCTCTGAGAGCAAGTGCAGTAGACATTTCTTCAAACTCTGCCCGAAAGCCAGAGCCTTGACTTGACTTGATGCTCTATTTGATGCTTTGGTGAGAAGTGTTTAAAAGACTGTAGCAGACATCAGTTAAAATCTCACGAGCAGAAGTTGGAAAAAACACTTTAGGAGCATGTCATGGTTGTTGTGAAAGGCTGACTCATCTCGCCTTTCCGGACTGCCCAACAAAAACAAGAAAATCCTGGCCCTGGAATATTTCATTGATGGCACCTGCAATCCTGAGATACAGAAATCTTGTGAATGGTTAAAAAAAAAGCAATTGGAATTCATGCAATTTGAGGCAGCTCAGGAAGCAACCTGTAGAGACTGCCAGCCATTTAGAAATGTTCATGTGCAAGAGCCAGTGGATCAACTGCTTGCTCGTCTAGACAATTCAACTAGGTAAGACAGTGCCATGTACTGCTGCCCAGGAAGGAGGCAGGAAACAAATTAGTGGCCATGTCATGGAGTGGAGATTGCAAGAAATTGAGAAGCCTTGTTTTTAAAGCAGTTCATGTTTCTACAGCAAGTGGAAGCAGCAATAGACTCTTCATCGTGTGACGTATCAATGGAGTTCTTTGCAATATAACCATCAATACAGGAGCCAGTGTTACCATCAACTGAAAAGATTTATCTCAACTGTTGAAAGGTAAGCTCATATGGATGCCGCCCTGCTTTATGTTCCAGACTGTGTCTGCTGATAAGATCAAACTCGGTGGAAAGTTAAAATGTTAACATTATGTTTGGAAATGCCGCCTAGCATCACACTGCATATTTGGCAAATGTTATAGACCCTTGCACAATCGGATTAGACTTTCTCAGGAAATACAATTTTTATTTCTACTATAACGAACTGCATTTTGCCTCCTAGGATGTAACCCTGTTCGAAATTAAAGAGGAGGGAGTTAAATCTTTCCACCAGCTCATAGCTCAAGACAATATCACAGTACTTTCAAGAATGGAATTTTTACCATATGGATCCATTGATGTATAAGGTATCTCCTGCCTTTTTAGCATGACTCTCATGGTGTAGTGGTCAACACACTCGCTGCGTATTCGAGAGGTTTGTGGTTTGTGTCCCGGTGAGGGCATTGCTCATTTTTCATGACTCCTTCAAAAAAATCCTAATGAATCTACAGTGGTGCCTGAACTAAAAAAAGTGGTGGATGATGATTCTTCACCACCAGATTTGGTGATTGGGTCCCTTAGTCGCCCTTTAAAAGGGGGATTATATAAGGTATTTTCCCCGCTTTCTTAGCATGCCTTCGTGGTGTAGTAGTCAGCACACTCGGC